ATGGCTAGTGGTCGACTGATATAGGATTTTGAAATGGCCAATGCCGATATTGAAAAATCAATCTGGTCGATTATCGGGCGAGGCCGATATTTAAAAAATTCCAAATATCGTCCGATAAATCAGCCACGGTGCTATATCGGTCGACTACTAATTATGGCATAATTGGTATCAGTGTTCTGTAATCCAAGGAATCTAACAAGAGCAGTTACATGACAACAGGCAAAACTGTTTATAAGCTATTAGCATTTTTTGAAATTGCATTATTAATGACTAATGGCTCTATATTAATGGTTTATCACTTTTGACCAAAAGGTGGCACTGTTACCAAATCGATATGGTGTGGTCAGTGTGAGATGACAATGACACACAAAGTTTGGTGTCAATATGTCAAAGCTTTGCAGGTAAATGAAAACCATTCCATCTATCAACTTGAATTCCAAGTTTTTTGTTTGTTTGGTTTTTTTTTTTGCCAGCATGGTTCCAAATTTGGTGAAAATCGAATCAGTGATCTAGGAGGAGTTCGAAAAAATCAAAATATGACAAATCAAAATGGCGGACAGGAAGTTTGTCTGATTATGGTATAATTGTTATCGATGTTCTTGACATGATCCAAGGAATCTACCAAAACAAAATTATTCAAAAGTTGTTAGTGTTTTTTTTTTTAAATTAAATTAAAATGCCACACAACTTTTTGAGTACCTTCAGGGCATGGTGCCGAAGACACATATCAAGTTTCCTAACAATATGCCAATGCATTCGTAATATATATAACCTTTTACGACAAAATTAAAAATGGCCGACACCCGAAATATGTCATCGTTTCACTCAGAATTTCGCACTACATCTAAAGAGAGCTCCAAATGTAAAGAGACCAGTCTTGTAATTTTTGGCAAAACCATTCAGAAGTTCTAAGCAAAAATAGCAAATGTTTAATCTCCCCTGATCACCAGGTGGCACTGTGCTGAAACTGTGCATGCAACCTAAGATCTTGGTTGTCATAACACAGACCAAGACTGCATCTGAAAGCTTAGGCTGCTGACTTGTTGCCTCGCTGCCTTAGCGTTTGCGCAAGCAGGCACCTCACGAAACTGATTTCGGACATGCTTATGAGGCACCGCAATGGTTTATTGATCTACTAGAGTGAGCTTTGGTGAAAACTAAGCTAATATCTAATTACTATAATACTGATTTCTCACTAGAAGTAACATCAAAAGTGGAAAAAGTTGAGGCCGATATTTAAAAAATTCCAAATATCGTCCGATAAATCAGCCACGGTGCTATATCGGTCGACTACTAATTATGGCATAATTGGTATCAGTGTTCTGTAATCCAAGGAATCTAACAAGAGCAGTTACATGACAACAGGCAAAACTGTTTATAAGCTATTAGCATTTTTTGAAATTGCATTATTAATGACTAATGGCTCTATATTAATGGTTTATCACTTTTGACCAAAAGGTGGCACTGTTACCAAATCGATATGGTGTGGTCAGTGTGAGATGACAATGACACACAAAGTTTGGTGTCAATATGTCAAAGCTTTGCAGGTAAATGAAAACCATTCCATCTATCAACTTGAATTCCAAGTTTTTTGTTTGTTTGTTTTTTTTTTTTGCCAGCATGGTTCCAAATTTGGTGAAAATCGAATCAGTGATCTAGGAGGAGTTCGAAAAAATCAAAATATGACAAATCAAAATGGCGGACAGGAAGTTTGTCTGATTATGGCATAATTGTTATCGATGTTCTTGACATGATCCAAGGAATCTACCAAAACAAAATTATTCAAAAGTTGTTAGTGTTTTTTTTTTAATTAAATTAAAATGCCACACAACTTTTTGAGTACCTTCAGGGCATGGTGCCGAAGACACATATCAAGTTTCCTAACAATATGCCAATGCATTCGTAATATATATAACCTTTTACGACAAAATTAAAAATGGCCGACACCCGAAATATGTCATCGTTTCACTCAGAATTTCGCACTACATCTAAAGAGAGCTCCAAATGTAAAGAGACCAGTCTTGTAATTTTTGGCAAAACCATTCAGAAGTTCTAAGCAAAAATAGCAAATGTTTAATCTCCCCTGATCACCAGGTGGCACTGTGCTGAAACTGTGCATGCAACCTAAGATCTTGGTTGTCATAACACAGACCAAGACTGCATCTGAAAGCTTAGGCTGCTGACTTGTTGCCTCGCTGCCTTAGCGTTTGCGCAAGCAGGCACCTCACGAAACTGATTTCGGACATGCTTATGAGGCACCGCAATGGTTTATTGATCTACTAGAGTGAGCTTTGGTGAAAACTAAGCGTCAGAAACGTACATTAACACACAAACTGACCACCAAATGCAACTTTCAGATGCCATCTTTATTTTTCAGCTCAACCGACACGGAATGAAACGCACAGGATTCTGGGATATCAAAGGCAGCGAAGGATGCATCTATGCTGCCTTTAAAAATCGATCACATGAAGGTATCTCAAGAGGCAGGAAGTGAAGCTGACATTGGATTCGGACATGCCTTGATGCCTTCCTAACTTGGAATGCATCCACTGGAGGCAGAATTTTTCAGCTTTTGGATGCAGCACAAGTTTGGTCTGAATACGCTAAAGCATTGAGGAGATATATAGCCTCACATCCACTTTTACAAGCTCTTCAACAAATTTGTTCTTGCATTATTCGGAAATGGTTTGACTGATCAACTTGATTTCCATTTTTTACTCTCTTTTTTTTCTTTTTTTTTTGGACATGGTCTGAAGATGATATGGTTTGATTTTCGTGAAAATCGGACAAACAGTCTATGAGGAGTTCCAAAAAGTAGTTTTTTTCGAAAAATTCAAAATAGCAGAATAATTTTTATGATGGACAATGACATCATAAGGTGCATTTGAATCAAAGCCAAGGAATCAGAGGAAAATAATTGTGTTGCTCTTACGGTTCAAAAGTTATTTGCACAAACATGAGAGCAAGTCTTGACAAGTGGTGGTGCTAGAGGGTATAAGTCAGAGACTCCAAATTTGGTGTGGTTAATGTTCAAACTGTCCTTTATCTGTGTGCCAAATATCACAACTTTTGACCATACAGTTCTATGGGCTGCCATAGACTTCCAGAGCGGAAGTAGAAGTAGAAGAAGAAGAAGAACATGCATAGATAATTACGTTTAATTAATTAAAGTGGAATATAATACTAGGAAACATCCTGTAATGTATAGTGTTTAAATGAATGTTTACAAAACCAATTTACATTTACAAATGAATGAATGAATGGATGAATGGATGAATGAATGAATATATGTTGATTTTGTTAAAATTATAGTTTGTTTGGAATATAGTGGAATATAATAGGAACTGTCCTGGACACAACATAATGTTTACAAAACTAAACTAAACTAAACTAAATAAATAAATATTGATTTTGTTAAAATACATTAAAGGTATTGATTTTAATACAAATATTTAAAGTTGAATGTAATACTATGAACTGGCATGTTCAATATAATGCAGCCACAAGTGTTTAAATGCTGTTAGTAACAAACAAAACCATTTTAGCATGTATACTTACAAATAACACATCACTGGTATTCATATTTTCCGTCTTTTACTCTCACTCTCTACTCTCATTTTCTTGATTACTTATGATTTAACCAAGTTCAGTGTTACGTCTGCCTCATTATGCTAATGAAAGCTTTTTCTCGTTGCGTTGCATGCTTGGCTAGCAGATTGCAGTGAAGTGCGAGAGCAGCGGATTGGGCCGTGTGTGCTCAGCTCTTCCCTGCTGATTCGGCATGCCATCAGCATCCTACCCAGCACAATATAATTATCCGGGCCCAGATGACGCATACAGAGACACACAGCCGCGTATGCTTATGCTCCAACGCCCCCTTGTAAAGCATGCAGTGGGTGAGGAGGCAGCTCGCTTTACAAGGGGGTGTTACAATCGAGAGAGAACACAAACAAGCAAACAAGAAAGGACGAATTGTTATGGTAGACAGTAATAGACAGGCCTAGACAGAAACTGAGGACCTTTACAGCACTGAATTTCAGAACGGATTTAAACATAGTTAAATGTGCTAAATGCATTTGAGAATATTACATTACACAAGTTAAAAGCATGATCAAATTAGACAAAATATACTATAAACAAGGAGAAGGAGGACATATCTTTTTTTTGTATGGATCGATTATTTACTCAAAAATACAAAACAAATGTGATTCATATGAACAAGCACTTGAATACACCAAGAGCATGGTTTAATTTCTGAATCAACATTAAACTTATTTTTATATTTATGGGTGGGTCAAAAATTTCAGGGTGAAAAAAAAAAAACGCTTTCATATGCGTGCTGTTTTATCCGCTTTCAATTTCGCTTCAATCGATCACTTTCAGCAGGGAAGGGGGGCACAGTAACTTGTTTGGGGGGCAAGCAGGGTGCGAACTACGGGGGAGCTCAGCTCCCCTCAATAAAGATAACTATACATGCTATTCTTGTCATGAGCATCAAGGTGTGGGGGCGCTGCGGTGCAAATTCCACTCATGTTTAGTACATGTTAACTCAAAGATTGGACTCTGTGGTTGATTCTGTGTTAAGGTAAGACATGTTATTCGCAATTATGTGTTGTGGCTGGGTTGTTATAGGTCTGCGTGACTCTCGATATCTTAGGCCCGACTGAACGGAGGAATTATGGTATTCTTCTGTACCCTGACGAGGAGTAACTTTAACCGTTGGTCATGTGAACTCAAAGACAGCCGGATGCTTTGTTTATAGACTATTTGTGGGTGGCTGTTTGTTGTTTCACCTATCAATTTGTGTCGATAAAGTATAATAGGATAAATCCTGTATAGTGATTTATCTTATATAGTGCTTGCATAAAGCAAGTAGTGCATACACTTGTAGCTGTTATGTGTCTTTGTAAGTCATTGTACCCCCCCCGTTAAAAAAAAACAAACAAGTGGGCTCCCCCAAAGTCCACGGTATAGTTCGAACACTGGGGGCAAGTACCCCCCCGGCCCAGTCTGGAGGTTACCCATAAAGGTTTGACTTCAATCCTACCAGCTGAAAAGTCCCCAAAACTGCTTTAAAACAATCAAACTACACTATTTTGTCCAGCTCAGTGGCCAGCCAAGACCAGCTAACCACCTTATGTTGTTTTTTTCCCCTCAGCAGGGCTGTCAAAAGCACTCACACTATGGTGGTGAGAGCCTTTACAAACTGTCTATAGGGAGTTGTAATGCTGACAGACTGCTGAGGGCTATGAACTGTGTCTTCTGTGGGTGTTTTACCTGTGCTTGCGTCTCCATTCGAGCATACTGGAGCAGCAAAGGCTCTCCGTGCTTCTGCAGGAAGTCTCTCTGACAGCGCTCCGCCAGCGCCGCTTCGTTGGGAAGAAAATTACTGGCCCAAACCTGGAGAGAGAAATGGGAATAGCACAAAGACGTGAACCTGTGTGGGAAGTCTCTCTAATCAGACTCTGTTGATACGGAAAAAAAACTTTAGAACTGCTTTCAGGAACAAAACAACATTTCGGTTCCAAATAATCACAAAAAAAATAATCCCTTCCAGCTATAAAAATAACTAGAACCGCAAAGCAGGCCTGTATTTTACGTATGCAAATTGATAGTACATTATGTGGCCATCGAAGCACGGAGAGCACGGAAACACATCCAATTATACTTCGCAACGAGTGGAGTTGGTACTTGGCGATAACACTTCTCCCATCTTTAGCCTCGTAGAGATGATTTAGGAAAAGCAATTGGAAAAGACACTTTAAAACAGGGGTGTCCAAACTCGGTCCTGGAGGGCCGGTGCCCTGCAGAGTTTAGCTCCAACCCTAATCAAACACACCTGAACCAGCTAATCAAGCTCTTACTAGGCATGCTAGAAACTTCCCGGCAGGTGTGTTGAGGCAAGTTGGAGCTAAACTCTGCAGGACACCGGCCCTCCAGGACCGAGTTTGGGCACCCCTGCTTTAAAACATTAATCTTTAGAGCCACCATAGACACCCTGCGCTGCCCAGAGAGAGTTCTGACACCGTATCCCATACATCTTCAACAAAAAAGGCTGCTGAGAGAGATTCTGTTTCTCCAATACTTCTCCTCAAAACCGGAGCTCCCACAAGAGCTCTCCACAAACGTATCTTTCTGAGGAAAGAAACTTGGTCATTACTCACTACCGAGACAAATGCGATTTTCTGCAAAGAGATGTCGAGTTTTTGGGCTCTCAATGTTAGTAATTTAAAGTAGTGTCACACACACACACACACACGCATGGATGACTCTCTCAAGGGTCTTTTCCATGAATTTACCACAATATTTTGCAGTTCATTCCAATTCATAAAACTTTGGAAGCAGTATGTTAAAGTGGATAGTGTAATATTTCAGATGGTTTTTCCAAATCTGCACTGTAAAAAATGAGTGTAAATTCGACAATAAAATATTGTAAAAATGCTATGAAAAAAAACAGTTAGGTAAATAGGTAAACAGTAAAGACTTAAAACGTCGGCAGATCGCTGTGCTGTTCAGACTATATGACTTCTTGGCTGTCTTAAAGTCGTTGTAGTGTTCACACTACGCAACACTATGTAAATGATCCACAACAGGGGGTGACTCACTACACAAGCTTTCAACGACTCTGTCACCAAATGACTCTATCCCATCCCCAAACCACGTTTTGTCACGTAAACACATGCGAGAAGTTGAAAGGGAATGACGCAAAACAACAAGTAAAACAGGAGTTGTTTATTTGAAAATGGACATCGGGAAGAAATTAGTGCTGTAAGTTCTTTGCGCAATGAAAAAAAATGTGCTCCATTTCTTGTGTCCAAACTTTTCTTAAAGTCGTGTTGCTGCTGCTGTTTTTCTTCCACTGACCTCAACCCATGCCTTGATCTCTCATTGGCTTTAGCTCATCGCGACACCTGCCACCACGTGATGATGAGCCGGCCGACCGGTCCAGATATTTAGCATGCGAGATATTCGTATGGTGTCGGCAACGCATCAGCGAGCCTCTTTGATGTGTTGTTGAGTAGTTCACACATAAAGATTGCAGAGTGCTGATCATCCGCTGATTTTCCCCCGATCACAGCCCGAACAGTCGGCGAGCTCATTAACTTGCAAATCGGGCTTAAAATCATGTAGTGTGAACTAGGCATTAGTTCCTGTACTATATACAGGGAAAAACTAAAAGATCTAACGAGACATTTCATGTAATTTTACAGTAAAATGCTGTTAAAGGATTAGTTCACTTCCAGAATAAAAATTTCCTGATAATTTACTCACCCCCATGTCATCCAAGATGTTCATGTTTTTCTTTCTCCAGTCGCGAAGAAATCAAGGTTTTTGAGGAAAACATTCAGGAATAAGGGTCTTATCTAGTGAAACGATGGACTTCACGCATGACGTAATTCCGTTGGAAAGGTCATGCACGGTTAGCTCTTCGTCTGTGTACTCACTCACGTTCAGAAAGATAGGGTAGGGTGGAAAAATCCATCTCATTTTCTCCTCCAACTTCAACAATCATCCGACATCGTTGTTTTACCTTTTTTTTGTAAAGGACGTTTGACTTTCTTTGCACGTTCGCTTTGTAAACACTGGGTCGGTACTTCCGCCTGTGTCACGCGTGACCTTTCCAAGGTGACTTAATTGGGTAAAGTCCAGCTAGTGCAAGACGTGCATTTGTGGTTAAAAAGTATATATATATATATATAAAAAAAAAAAAATTTTTTAGAAAATGAGCGATCGTTTCGCTAGATAAGAGTTTGCACGTTCGCTTTGTAAACACTGGGTCGGTACTTCCGCCTGTGTCACGCGTGACCTTTCCAAGGTGACTTAATTGGGTAAAGTCCAGCTAGTGCAAGACGTGCATTTGTGGTTAAAAAGTATATATATATATATATATATATATATATATATAAAAAAAATTTTTTAGAAAATGAGCGATCGTTTCGCTAGATAAGAGCCTTATTCCTTGGCTGGGATCGTGTAGAGCCCTTTGAAGCTGCACTGAAACTGCAATTTGGACCTTCAACCCGTTGGTCCCCATTGAAGTCAATTATTTGGAGAAAAATCCTGGAATGAATAATGGAATCCTTAATTTCTTTGCGGCTGAAGAGAGAAAGACATGAACATCTTGGATGACATGGGCGAGTAAATTATCAGGATTTTTTTATTCTGGAAGTGAACTAATCCTTTAATTATTCAGTTTTTAGAAGTAAAAAAAATAACAAATCAATGTATAATTTACAGTCAAAATCTTTAAACAGACATTCCCAGAATTCCCTGCATGACACTCTACATTTGAAAGGCTATACATTTTGTTTAAATAATCATGTTTCTTAATAGTTTTTGTAATCAGTTATGTACATGAGGGTTTTATGTTACATCTTCTGTTGTTTAAAGTGTCATGTGTGTTACCGTGATGGTGTTTAGTGTTTGCGCAAATGACTCTGTCCACCTTCTGTATATTAGTATATACTTCAGCTTATGGAAAAAGCTACTTGTGATGAACGTTGATTCTTAATGTGGCTTTCTTTTACCACCTGCATTATTATGGTGGTTCACAGTTTTTCTGTATTTAAAAAAAAAATTATTCTGGAAACCACAGCAGCCAAAATTATTTTGTAGAAACTAGAGTTTTTTTTTTTTTTTTTCAGTGTGTATTCGTGTACACTAAAATGGCTTACATGGCTAACACACACTGGAAGCTACAGGGGTTTGTTACGGTTCTCTTTCAGCTTCCTCAGTTTGAGCTTGTAGTAAATTGTGGGAAAATATTCTTGAAATACTTAAAGGCAAGCTTTGGTAATGAAAGTAAAGTTCATTTTTGAGAGCATCTTGACATGTCACAATGCTAATGCTTGTAAATCTAATTCAAATCATGCACAAACCACAAAGAAATACTAAGAAAGTGCATGTCAATTTTGATTGCATTTTAAACTTGATGTAAATTCCCAAAAAGGGATACATTTTGATTAAATAAAACAATTAAATGAAAAATAAATTTCATTATGACTTTAAAAAATGTTAGCTGAAAAGTTTGGCAAGAGCTTGAAGGTTAATTATTTTAGCTAGTCGCTAACACTGGATTATGTGCTAAATTGTTTTAGTACTTGCATATTAGCATAAATCTACACATACAGTGAGAATTAATTCAACATTCAGTATTTAAAGAAACAGTAGAGAATTTTCTATAGTATTCTATGAAGCACATACAGTAAGATGAAATCTAACCAGGATACTTTTGACAATCAATGTGGATTAAACTGATCATTTTTGCATGCTTAATGGCCAAGTGCCCATGATTATATATATATATTTTTTTTAAACATATCAAATTAATCAAAACTGACGGTAAAGACATTTATAATATTAAAAAATGTTTTCTAATCAACAAATAATCCTGAAAAATGCAGGTTTCCACAAAAATATGAATAAGTACAACATCGATAATAATATGTTTCTTGAGCATCAAATCAGCATATTAGAATGATTTCTGAAGGATCATGTTACACTGAAGACGGGAGTAATGATGCTGTAAATTCAGCTGCGCATCACAGGAATAAATTACAAGTTAACAAATTTTGTGTAACACTTTACAATAAGGTTCAATTCATTAATATTAGTTAATGCTTTAGGCATCACACAAAAAAATTAACTACTATTTTTAACATGTATTAATCTACATTAATGTTAATTTATTAATGTACCATTTTTCATTAATTCTTGGTTGATCATACCACAAACTATTTGTATTAAGCAATTCTATTTAAATGAACTTTACATGCATATGTAGAAATTAACTAACAAACATGCTATTAAAATTGTTTACTTTATTTAATATTGCATGACATTTCATTAATCTAAACAAATTGTAATGCATTGTAATGCATATAATGTATTGTTATGAAAGTACTGCATCAAGATTTTTTCTACTTATACTAGTTCTTTGGAAGAAACCATCTCAAATTTTATTTGCAGAGTTGCTGCAGCCATATGGCAATTATCTTCTAGAAGAGACTGAAAAGGAAAAGGCACTTGAGCTTGAGAAATGTGAAGGTCACAGTCCTGTACTGCCTTTGCATGTTTAATCCAAACCAACAGGCCAAAACCAGCAACATCAGCTGCCAATACACCAGCCGGCCCCAGTGTTATGTCTTCCCTCATCTGAGACCACATTCACTACCCAATAAAAACTAAATTACATTTGATTGTTCTGCTCTTCATCATAAACAGCCACCGATATAGTGTAATCTAATTCCAAATGAGTCTCTTATGTGAAACTTTTTAGAGAATTAAAAAAAATACAAACCAAGTAACTAGCAATGTTCAATTACCAAATAAATTGATTCTAAAACAGATTGTGTTTAGAGAATCAAAACCATAGAGTGCAAACCAGAATCCAAACTAAT